GGGTGTGGATGGGTGTAGTGGGTGTGGGTCTGAGGGCGTGGGTGTGGGTGTGGGTGGCTCGGTGTGAGTGGGAGTGTAGTGGAAAAGAAGACACCCACACCCACACCCGCACCCATCAATCTCAACTGCTGCTATAGACGTTGGCGCCAGTTTACGCAACATCTTACCTCGTTTTGTTAGTTGGAAATACTTGGTGAGTGCACGAATCAACTGAGATTTTCCAGTGCCACCACACCCAGGTATACACATCAAGAACTGATTATCGATAGTACCTAAATATCAAGACTAACTAAACCTTACAACAACAAAATCGAGATAACATACCGATATAAGCATAATGTTCACCATCTAAGTGGCTAGTAACAATTATAAAAGCATATTTCTCGTAAATTGTTTGACGATATCCTGTTTTGTAGGAAATAAAATCGCATTGGTTGCAGTCACAGACGGGACTGTTGCAACTTTCGTTTTAATTGGGCTTGTTGGAATTTCATTACCTACGATTTCAATCTGTGTTTCATCATCTCGTACTTCCACAGTATCTTCGCCTAAAATTAAATAGTTTCTTGTTTCATCTCGTCTGGCGTCAATATCACGTTTCCATTCTTTAATCATGGTCGTATGATGCTCGCGAGCTACGGCAAATGTGTGGACGTCGTGTATGGTACCATACAGAGCTCCGCGGGACGTATCCCGCCCAGTCCCGCGCTTTTTTCGTACGTCCACACACTATACTGTATCATCACACTCATCTCTTTTTTTAATGTTTACCAACATGTTTATCAAATTCCAATGCTACTCCGCTGAACTTATTGAAAACGAGCCGAAGCGCGGGACGAGTTCCGGAGAGTATTTTAAGACGGTAGGTACCGTCTGTCAGAGGTTCACGGAACTTGTCTCGCAAGTCCTGCGCCTTGGCTCGTTTTCGATAAATATAGAGGAACAGCTTTGATATTTGATAGACGTGTTGACAAACATAATGGAAAGAAACAAGCGTGAACATACAATAGTGTGTGGACGTACGGAAAAGCGCGGGACCGGGCGGGATTCGTCCCGCGGAGCTCTGGTACCATAATTATTTTCGCCCAGAGAACGCATACGGCCTAAATCAAACAAAATATTTTCGGAATATGGCAGTAATTAACTCACCATTGAGTAATGCAAATCTATCTGTATTATGAATTGCTTGTAATGCATCATGAACATAGCGTTGTTCGTGAGTAACTGTCAATGCTGAGTAAGTATTTGTGATGATCTCATTTACGATGGAAAGCATTTGAAAAAGCTGTTCAAGATCGTCTTCTTCAGTATTTTGATCTTCTTCATAGGAGTTAGGGATCAGAATAGGATCAATACTGCTGTCATTTTGTGCTTCTAGAAGAACTCGATGAAGGTGCTCATCTCGATTGTGCTCACATTCGTGCAAAAGTTGTATATTTTCTATAATTTTGAGTGAACTAGAAGAGATCAATGGTTTTCGAACTTCCAGTGCCTCAGACCATGTCTGATTTAGTGCACAAAGATCGTAGACTGATCCCCATGGCACGAATAAAGTTAGCAATGCACGACAATAACGCTCATGTTTCTTCTCGTTCGCGATGGGGTATTGGAGGACCAAGCAGAACTGGTACCACTGGAGTGGTACGTTTAATGATGATATGTGATGATGATTGTGGATGCACACTTTCAAATGTGTGTCGTTTGTTTATTTTTGTTCCTTCGGTATACAATCGTTCACCTTCATGCCCATTTTCATTCTTTAGTAAACGGCGATCTGATTTGTCAATAACCTTCTTGTGAAAATGACTGATAAAATCATATAAGCATAATGCACTTAGATCTTTTGATCAATGCTAATAGTCCAGACGAGTATTTATCATGACATACCCGTCACCGCTTTTGGTTTTTGTTGGCTCTAATAGAAACTGTTCTTCAGTTTCTTTTGTATCTTTCCCTTGTTCATCATAGAAGGACGTTAGGATCTCTAGAAAAATTGCTTATTAAATATCTATGTAATCATTTTTAAAAATTTTTACTATCAACTTGCTGCTGCTCAATAGATTTGACTCCTTGGTGTGTAAGGGCAAACATATCATAGAAGGCTAGAATCGACTCTGTTACATAATCACTTATATAGTACCCTAAAGCTTTAGCGTCGTTACCATTCTAGATGAATTTAATATCCATTTTGGATTGGCAAGCATTTAAGAGCCATTCGTTGAAGTTGTCGATCCACGTATATGATCGATGCATAGTTATCTGACCTGTAGAAGGATCGATGTTGGAAGTCTTCACGAGTACACGTGGCATACACATTCGACAAGCTTTTGAACCATTGGACTTGCCTTTCGAGTATTTGTAACACATTGCAGAATGCTCATGAATATTGCATGTTTCGACTAATCTCACTATATCTTTGCGAAAAATACGATGGAAGTCATCTAACACAGGATTTGACGTTGGTTGGCAGGCCGGTACAACTTTATTCGTTATCGGTCCAGTTTCTTCTAAAATCAAGACAAAAGCAAAATTAAGAATATACCAAAAGCTACAAACTCACGTATTAATGCACTGTTATCGCTTGCTGTACTGGTTCCATCGTTGCTTTCATCTTTAAAAAGAATGGTCAAATTTAAAAGTACAAATGATCTAATGCAGTTATTATGGTTACTAAGAATCTGCAATTCGAATTAAACGCATTTTTGATTATCGAGAATTAGTTAAAAGCTCAACTCTAGGCTAAAGCAACGATAACGTATTCTCAGGTTATGAAATTTCGTCAAATAGGCAAATGCGAATATTTCAAATCACAAATTCGAACGGTGCTAAATGTATTACCTCGAAATGGATCTAAATCTTCTTCTACAACATCTTCTAAGTATTTTAGTAAATTTTCACGAAAATCTTCATGTTGAACCTTTTCTTTTAATTGTGCTGGAGTAAACTCATGATTGAGCCAAATTTGAAGGTGTAAAGTGAAGCGAGTCTCTGCCTTGACTCTCGACAGTGCCGAAATATGCTTTTATAGGACCAGGTACACTACCGAGCACAAGACTTTTCAAGATGCTTTTTATTAAACAGCTAAAGAATTTTGCAGTAGCAACAGGATGTGTTGCGATAATTTGAGCATGTTCATAACTTGTGCCCAACACTTCTGGCAGAATTTTGTCAAGATCTAGATCAACACCTGCAAAATAAAATACCACTGGACTATGTATGTCGACTGGATTGATTGGTAGGAAGAGAGTTGGAAGACCGAGATTAAAACACAAAGAATGAATTTTCGTACGAAGAGTCGACCGCGAATGAACTGAATCCATAACATGACCATCAACCACTTTGATATGCTTCATGAGCGTATTTATTCTTTCATCAATAACTTTGGAATAAGGCGCTTTTGAAATGTTGACAAGGGCCGTTGTTACATCTTCAGAACTCAATAATTCAAGACGTTGTGTGGATTGCTGAAAGTACGGCCTTGATGTTATTAATTGGGCATGGAAGCACTCGATTCGGTGTTGTAAAATATTGAAGACAACAAATATGAATGAGTAGTATTCTTCAAAGCGATGATCTCCGTACGAAAGAAGATATCTGAGATGCTCACGAAAATTAATTTGGACTGGTCGAGAGTAATCTTCAAGTGCATCACGTGCATACAGAAAAAATGTAGGAAAGATACCCAATAAAAGATTTGGATTAGAATATTCATTGACCAGTTTGTTACCACGAGGAATTATGTACACAGTATCTTGTTCAACGTTTTCCTCGATGTCTTTTTTCAGCGTTTTACCACCCATTTGTAGGTTTATTCATTCTAAAAGATGTTCAACAACGTCATCAGACGAAATTTTGGTACCGTTAACATGCAAGATAGCACTACAACACAAGCAATGGTAGATACAAATGTCAAGGCCTTTTTGCTTTACCTCGCAATTATTGGTATAGCTGTTGTAGTTTTGGACTCAGATGCATTGACCAGAGGGTTAAGAATATAAGTTGTCCTTTCGTTTTCGACCGCTTCGACCTTAGTGGAAATTTCCATTGTTGCCCAGGAACACTCCAGAATATCATTCTCAAGTAATTTATTGATTGCTAATTGATTAATTGTAACATATTGATGGAGTAGACTGTTTGGGCTAAGTCATTTAAGTGCATCAGAAACCTTTGTTTTTCGAACAGTCAAAATATTTTTTAGTTGACTTCTTTGTAGAGTGCGACAACCAACAAAAATAATTTTTAGAGAATCACATAGATCATCTAATTCTAATGACAGGGTAGTAGCTATGTTAATAACATCTTGAGGAAAGCTTATGCAGTTGCCTTTTAAAGTTGATTGAGCTGTGCTTGTCGAATGAAAAGACGAATATAATTTCACAATGCAGCTGTTGTGTTCGTAGAGAACAATAAGTCTTTGCTCGGAAATGGTTAATCCTTGTAATTGCTGTGGCACATCTCCCATTCATACTTTATTGGCAGCTGAA